TTTTCAACCCCAAATTCGCATAATACTGGGCAAGTGCACATGGTACTGGGGACATGGCATGCCAATTGCAAGTGTGAATCTTCAATGCTTTGCACTGAACAACAGATGTTTATTGGATTTGCAAATTTGCATCATGTCGGGCCAAATCCCCAGCAGTTTCTGGTCGCCGATTTGTGCCATTTCCCACCTGTCTCAGGTGACGATGGCAACAAGCAGGTTCCGAGCTGCCAGCGACCACGTGAGCGACGCGCTTTCGGTTCCTTTCGGTTCCTTACCATGTCCCTTTTAAAGACCTTTTTTCATTTGCTTTTCATTGTTTCTAGTAGGGGTGGCCTCCAACTTTTTCAATTGTTTCAATGATTTTTTTGGGTTCCAGAGTTCAATCGAGCATGTTTGTGGAATCATGTCGGCGAGGCAAACGGCCGATGGAGAATCTTGGCAGGTGTCCAGACCTCGCCATACCTCTGTGGTACTTGGCATATTCTCAACCTCGTTGCAACTTAGGCATGTGTGGTTTCCACATCGATTGGGCTCTATGTGAGGCTTTACCTCTTCAGTGTGTACTTGTGTCGAACACACTGAACATAGTGTGAACAGTTTGTCTTGCAGGTTTCATCACCTGCTGACGATCGCTAGCTTGAAAAGGACGCCATTATTTTTTTGTTTCTCCAAAAAAGCGCTGCATAAAACCATAGCATCCTTGCTCCTAGTAGCGATGCCAGGAGCCCCTAGTAGCTTCTTGTTCCTAGTAGTACGGACGGGAACCCCTAGTAGCGTCCTTGCTCCTAGTAGCGATGCCAGGAGCCCCTAGTAGCTTCTTGTTCCTAGTAGTACGGCCGGGAACCCCTAGTAGCGTCCTTGCTCCTAGTAGCGAGGCCAGGAGCCCCTAGTAGCGTCCTTGCTCCTAGTAGCGAGGCCAGGAGCCCCTAGTAGCGTCCTTGTTCCTAGTAGCGAGGCCAGGAGCCCCTAGTAGCGTCCTTGTTCCTAGTAGCGAGGCCAGGAGCCCCTAGTAGCGTCCTTGTTCCTAGTAGCGAGGCCAGGAGCCCCTAGTAGCGTCCTTGCTCCTAGTAGCGAGGCCAGGAGCCCCGTTCGTAGCGTCCTTGCTCCTAGTAGCGAGGCCAGGAGCCCCGTTCGTAGCGTCCTTGCTCCTAGTAGCGAGGCCAGGAGCCCCTAGTAGCGTCTATATAAGGCCCAGGACGCTTAGGGCAGGAAAGCGTCCACATCTGCAAGCATGTGACACCATTAGGCTTCGTATGTCGCAAAGGCACGCTTTGTGGAAGGCCCAACATTCCCTGTAAATAGTAAAGAAACACCTAAAAAAGAGCACACACTAAACTGCGGATATCATCTTGAGATACATTAGCAGAATCTGTGTTTTCTTTGTTTCTTTCTTTGGGGACCTCGGGTGTTGAAGTACTTGCTCCCTTTTCGGCGCTGTAGCGCTGATTGGACACTTCCTACCGTTGTTCCTAGAGTTATATATCTTATCGTCGCCTAGCATGAGGTGACGATTCTTTGGGGACCTTCTTGAGGTTTTTGCTTTCAAAAGAACCGAGCAAACACTCCATTTAGAGGGCTGATTTAGGCAGCTATTGTTTCAACACAAGATGCACAGAGCGATCGACTGGATTCTTCGCTCCTTGGTTTCTCCAGGAACCATGACTACATCACTGACATGGTGGATCAGCATCCAGTTTTGGCCCCTCTTTCCTATGCCTCCCGCCATCAACAGCTCTTTTGCATCTTTTGTTCCTATGAGAAGTGCTTTCGCCGGACAAAACATGCAAAACTGTCAGATTGGGGTGCTTGTCGCAGTGATTGGCATCACTTGTCCAGGACAAGAAAAGCTCTAAAGGTCTCAAGAAAAATAGATGAACAATGAAAGAAAAACCGTGAGGATGAGGTCATGCTGTGAAGGCATTCCACTGTTAGGAGCAACGATGCTCAGTTTCCTTGGCGGTGTTCTCTTCAAGCAGTCTGAGACTTATTTATCTCCGGTTTTCTCTCTGTTTTCCGTCGCCTTTAGTGACTCAGGCCGTATGCAAGTATCTACGCTTACTGTGGTTACATTGCTTTGCGCTCAGGCAAACTACTCATGCACCATTGTAATTAGGTCTGAACACAGTACTCATCCAAACCCGGTATGAAAGCTTCTTCGTGTCAACCCAGGTTGGGGCAACTATCTCATATTTTGTCACAACTTTTGTGCTGGGCGACTACATGCCTGACTCTAACTTTCAACCTTTTGTGTGGCAAATCGACTAGCAAAGTACTCCCGTTTGGTAGTGATCCGCTTTTCTTCAGGCGCAAGCGACTAGCTGCAAACTCACAGCTCTATCAGAAGTTCGAGGCCCCAAATGCACCTGATGCCTTTGACACTTTGTGTTTGGCCTGCCGCCTTCTTGGCAGGCCAACGTGCGCTCGCAGCTTAAACTTAGGGTTTATGGCCAATGAAGTTTGGAGGCCATCGCTATTGGGTTGGAGGCCATCGCTACTGGGTTGGAGGCCATTGCTATTGGGTTGGAAGCCATTGCTATTGGGTTGGAGGCCAGGGGTTGCAGATGCCAATGGCAATGAACTGCTTCGCCTGACGGCGAGAATTCTCCTTGTATAGTCGGCAGGAAGCCCTATACGACCGGGAATTGGTGCTGAAATAGGGAATTGGTGCTGAAATACAATGTCAAGAATCCAACGGTGGGTTGGAGGCCATTGCTATTAGAACAAAGACATGAGAAAGATCTAATATAGTTTGCTCCGGCCAAATGCTGTGATGCCAAATCCTCAGAGCAGCTTAGCTTCCAAGTCTTGTTCCGAGGTCGAAACGCGTTTGCGTATCTCGTGGCTGCTCGGTACACCATGGTCAGAAGCAGAGATGTCACCAGTGATACTTTCGAAAGTGCTGTGGTTCCCACAGTTGTGTTGCATGTAAGAGGGATTTCTTCTTCGCGGTCTCTGTTTAAGGTCTTTCCCTTCTTTTTCGTGAATGGTGCTGCAGCACTGGTTGGAGTGCGATGCAGGATGCATGTGATTCCTTTTCCGCACCTTCGTGACCGAAGTTCGAGACATTTCGAGTAGCATTCTTGCTAGTAGTAACAAGGGCATCACTACTAGTAACAAAGGGCATTATTACTAGTAGCATTCTTGCTACTAGTAACAAGAAGCTACTACTCCAAATAGAATCTTCAAAGCCTTTAGGTTGGAGGCCACTACAATTAGGTTGGAGGCTTTCTACCTGCAAGCGCTTTCGGGGAAGTGAGAAACGACATTTTTTTACAAGGAAGGCTATCACTTGAGGTCTTGTCCTTGGCTCTAACTGCAACACTAACAGGAATCGTGTGGTTCCTCCTACACTCACTACACCTCACTTTTACCGGC